TAAAAATATAATGTACAAATTTGAGAAGAAAATATTGACATTTTTATATTGTATGTCATCTCTATAAACCCTAAAGTTATATCAATTTCAGTTATTTCAACTGAGTAGGTAATTGATGCCTACTATTACATCGCTTGAAAAATAATCTAAATGTAATTGAAGTCAAGCAATTCACAGTATTTATAGACACTTTTCAGAATCACCTGCTTTGTACTGATTGTTTTAAGTACAGTTGTAAATTTTTTATTTTTAAGAGTCCCTTTGAAGTTGTGGCAGATGTTGGTTTTACCAATAATGCTGGAAACCAAAGTGGGCTCAAAGTTACAAAAATGTTTAACACATATAAAATGTAATGGTGTACTTTTCTATTAAACTTGGTTATTTTCAAGTGCCAGTTAACTATGATGGAAGCCTAAAGTCCGTAAATTTTCCTTCTAAACCACCAAACTTTTTGAGCTTTCATCTGTGTGCATTCACTAATTCTGTGGAGTGGAAATTCGCATACATGCATACGGGGAAATGTTATGCACTGTAGTTTTAGCATATTACTATGGGTAAAAGTATTTTGGTAGTTCATCAATGTTTTCTAGTGCTTACAATTCTATTTGAACTTGGTGATGAACACCTATGCATTTAGTCTATATTAAATGCAGGGGTACAGAAATTTACTTTGTCTTGGATTCATTTACAGTATTTACCCTAAACTATAAATACTCAATAATTATACCCTACCTAACATAATATAAATGTTCTCTACTATGAATGGTGTAATTTTCTAACCTCAAGAGCTCAGGAAATGATTTTTTAATTGAAATATTCAAACTCTATTGCAAGTAATATTGGTTAGTAATATACCAGGATTGGAACCCTTCTCTATACTGCATTAGTTTCTGCCAGATCAAGACAAGCTTACTACACTATGGAACAAAATAACTTTGAACATAAATTATGGCAAATCAAAGGGAATATCATTATAGGAGAAAGATACTGTATATTTAAACCTATCGAAAGATCTAACGAACATTAACCCGGACACTGAAGCTGGTGAACTGAATTTTATTTTTGATAAGTGTACAGTATAAATATTTAACCAGAAACTATTGTGATATTTGCTTTTAGCTAACTGAATACTCTTTCAAAATATCTCATCAAAGGAAAACCTCCTTCTAAGTCTGCAGAGATTTTATTCTTACTGATGACTAATTGCATTTCCCCTCACACTGCAATACCTTGATATTTTACTCATCTAACTCATTTTTATTTCTGTTTGTGTGTTCTGTAACCTATCAGCTTAAATGTGTAAAAATAAGCTTTATTTTGTTGTGTGGTTATGTTCTAGGGATGAGGGAGATGAGTACTATTGAATCAGCCAATTATTGAAAAGAAATATTTTATTAAAATAATTTAAGGAAATGAGATCTCTAAATATCACTTTCTCTTTTTCTCCCAACCAAAACAATGAAAAAGGAAAAGGAAAGAAAAAATTGTTTATGAAAATTTCATTTGCTCTAAGAAGCTTAAGGGGATAGGTTTTCTTCAGAAAGCCTAAGAAACAATCCATTACATGGCCATCTCACTGCAGAAAGTTAAAAGAACAGTCAGAGCTTTTGGTGATTCAAGAGTCCTCTGACCAACCTTCCCTGAGATCTGCTTCCAAAAGTTACTAACCTTAAATACCCAGGTTGTGAAATGGTTGCTGCAACCTAAAGTTACCTTGTGCCCTTAATCAACCTAGAAACTTTCTTGCTAGGATTAACCTTTCAACTCATTTGCTTAAGAGAATTCCATTTATAGTTAGTAAAATCCATTATAAGTAAGTGACAGGGCCAGTAACTTCCTTAAATATATACTAATTTGTGGTGGGGAGTTAAAAGATCACCCCTGACTTTGGAAAGTAAAAGTTTTATTTTGAGATTTTGACAGAATTCAACCCATGCTAAGCCTGCAGAACCTTCGATACCATTGCTACAAAATAATATGAAATACACCGCTCAATTATTGTCATGTATGAAGCACTTCACCTAAAGCTTTACGAATGACAGGCAATTTTTATACTTTCAAACTAATTCCTAGAATTGCCTTATAGACCTATTAATCAAGCGAGCAAAAGAAAAGTACGTCCTTATGTTAAATAAATAATTTCTAAAAATGGAACCTAGTTTGTGCTATATAGCTAAGAAAACACCCTCAGAACGATCTTAATTATATAGTATCTTTTAACAATTTTATGATACAGATGGCTAAGGACTTTGAAGAGTGGCCTGGGGACCCCTGGAATCCCAGGATTGCTGCGAGGGTGCTAGGCAGACTGCACCGGTCCAGGTGGGCTCGGTTTCCGAGGCTGCGCACGCGGCCCCCTCCCCGATCTCGCCTGCGCTTCCTCTTCAGGCAGGAATCAAACCCCACTACCAGGGTTAGCGTTCGCTTCCCAGTAGTCCCGCGGATAGGACCCGAGGACAGAGGATTTTGCTTTTCACTTTTGCAACTCAGATTCTCTCCTGAGATCAGCACCAACCTTGTACAAGGTTACTTTTAAGAGTCTTTCTTCAAAAGTCTGTTCCTCTGTTTCTTCTCAGTTCCCTGACACATTCCGTAAAACCTTCTAAATTCCTGGATAATGTCTTTCCCCAAGAAAGAGAAAAGTGTACCATTTGAAACAAGGCAGTATTTAAAGAACTCTGGAATCAGGGGTAAACAAACAAACAAACAAACAAACAAAGTTTTTCTCAAGCGCTCTGCCAAGTTCCACCGCAAGTTCCAAATATTGCGCAATAATGTGGAAGTCCGGTCAACAATGGGAAAAACCGAGGTACTCGGAGTCGGGAATCTGCACGCGAAGAGTTAGACAGCGGCACCGGCCTCCTGCGCTCCCCACCGACCGGACCGCGGCCTCCCGGGCGCAAACCCTGCCCCGACTGTCCTCATGCACCGTCAAGCTTCAAGCTTAGTTCTCACGCTTCGCAATCGATTTCACATACTGTCACCTGCCCTTTTCTTTCAACCTCCTGGTAAACTAGTTTGGGCTCTTGGAGAGCTGAGATCCCCTGGCCCTGTCTGTGTTACCCTCGGGGAAACGCGCCCGCCAGTAACCGGACTCAGGCTGCGCCGCTGGGCCGGCCGCGGGGAGCCGGGGAGCCCAGAGGGCAAGAGCTTTCTCGTCCTCCCCGGCCGCTTCGTCTCTAGCGCGCCGGTCTCGTCCATCTCCCCGCCCCTTCCCCACCCTCGCGAGCTCTCAGGGAAGGTGCCCACGCCCTTACCTGAGCTGTCGCTTTTCCTCTTGCCGCCCCCTCTTTTCTCCGCCTCTGCGGGTGACAGCGCTTGGCGACCGTAGTCCCCGGGCGCGCACGCGGCCCCGGTCGGGGTGCTGGAGCCCAGAGTGGAGGCGTTGGAGCACAGGACGGGCGGGCTGCTCCCCAGCTCCGGGGGCCCTCCCGAGTCGGGCTGGAGGCAGAGGCTGTGGCGAGCGGCACTCGGCGGGGAGGACATCTGCGGGAGGTGCCAGCTGCCCTGCAGAGCCTGGTGCTGCTGCTGCTGGTGGTGGTGATGGTGGTGGTGGTGGTGGTGGTGGTGCCGGTACTGGTGCTAGTACTGGTGCTGGGGATGGAACACAAGGCCTTGTGCGTGCTAGGCAACCACTCTAACACTAAGCTACAGCCCTAGCCCTTGCGCTTTTTATTTATAACTCTTTTTTTTTTCAAATATTTACTCTTGTTTCCCTTCTTGGATTTTCTGGTGGTTGGTTTCTTTTTTTAATCCACCTGTGTTAGGCAGAACAACAGTACTG